GATGTCGAGCTCTCCTATTTCGCTTTGCTCGCCTTGGAATTCGAGACTCCAGACGAGGACCAGGATTCATGAGCCGGTCGCAGGGGCCCAGGCAGGGGCCTCTGGCTCCCGACGCTGGCCGAGAGGTGGGTCCCGGGGCGGTGGCTGCTCCCGAGGCCGGGCGGGGACGCGCTGCCCCCGCCCTGCCTCCCCGTGGTCCACACCCCCTTTGGGCTCCGGAGCCGCGGGGACGGAGTAGTCGGGGGTGCGCGCGGGCCGGCGCTGGCAGCCCCGCTCAGCCCGGCACTGGGGTCCGAGGGGCCGCAGGACGCGGCGCGCGTGCCCTCCCGCCGCCTCCTCCTCCCTGCTCTCACCTGCGCCCGTTAGCCCACTAGCCTTCAAGGCCAGTGGCTGCAGCCCAGTCCGCGAGGGTCGGACCGCAGAGGGAGAGAGAGCACCTGAGGATACAGAGCGGGCACTGGACTGCCTTTTCACCCCCCAGGTGATGAGTGAGGTCGGAAGATCGCAAGATTTAAAAAGCAACCGGGTCCTCCGTATTGAATGAAAGACCCAGTGCAAAGGCATCACCATGAACACGAGCAGTAAGTGGGTCCTCCTCTCCTTTGCCATGGGAACAGGGTGGGGGCGGGAGGTGCAGGAGCCTGCGCTGGGGCTGCCTGGAAGGAGGAAGGAAGCCTGCCATCGTGGTGGACACATGGCCCCCAGACTCCTTCGTGGTCCTTCCTGTGCTCCCCCCGGGAAGAGGGATCTGGATCTGGCTTTTCATGGTCATTTTGCTAATGTTTTACTGGCAGCAACACTTGCCTCTGCGGGGAAGGCTGCCTCTCTCCTTCTAGCAATGCCTGGGAAGGCCTAGGAAGCACTAACGAACGTGGCCATTGTCTGACTGTGGGGCTTCTGAGGAGACCTCCCTGCACACAGCTGGAAAGCCACGGAGGACCTGGCTTGTCCTGAAGCTGGGAGGAGCAGGGAGGCTGGCGCTGGGGCTGGTGCTGGGTGGATGTGGGCAGGCAGTGGGCTGGGAGCGAGCAGTTTGATAAACAAATCATCAGGAAGCCACCTCTGGGTCTAGAGATTGTGAAATATCCTGCTTCTGAGCCTGCAGCCCCACGGGCCGGGGGCTGATGGCTCCACACACCTACAAGCTGTGTGGCCATCCTGAGAAGAGAGGAAAGGGGCGAGCCCTTCGGCCGAGGTCTCTAACATGCTAGAGGCAAGGACTGCTTTGCAGAGACAGGACCAGACATTTTGCTGCTGGGCTGGGCCTCGGCTGCTGAGACACGCAGGCAGAAATGCAAGGAGGCCCAGTCGGTTTCTCTGAGTGTAGTCCCTTTGACCGTGGGCACCCAGATGACCACCACCCTGGAGAGGAGGTCGGGGTTCAAATCCTCTCCCTCCTGCCTCCTCATCAGCTTAGCTTGTCCTTCCAGTGGTAGGTGGGATTGTTGAATCAGAAGACCCCTAGCAGCCTTCAGTTCCCTGGTCTCTGACTTTCCCGTCCGTCTCCTCTCTGGATCCCAGATTGCTCAGTAAAACGAGAAGGGTTGGATCCAAATCTGTAAGTTTCCTCTGAAGACGCTAGAGCTGAACAGCAAGGCTAGAAAACTCAGTACCTTCGGAGGCTGTGTCCAGACCAAACGCACGATTTCCCCACCCTCCCTCCATTTCAGGGCTGGTGGCGTGGAGGGGAGGAAAACAAAGCAACAGCCAGTGAGATGGAAATGAAATATATTTATTTACTATCTATTTGCATGACTCATCTCTCTGCTGTCTTTCTTTGTGTATTACATAGCTCTGCTAAGCAAGCGAGTGTGGCTGAACTCCCTCTGCCTCTTCCAGCCAAAGAATTTTGCCTCTTGATTTTCACAGTCTGGACTGGTGCTTTTTGGCTTTACCCCGGGCTCAGGAAAAGAGCAAAATTCTGTAGACCTGCTCACCTGAGTGGGCCACATGTTTGCATCTGCGTCCTTTCAGCCAAGATGTGAACGGCCCGTCACTTGTCACTATCTCTAGGGGGGGAAACGGATTTATGGGAGTCCTTTCTCACTAAATGATAGAAGAGAAAGATGGCTCATCTATTTTTCAAGAAACTGAGAAATAAGTTCACAAGCAGCTGGCCCTGCCCTTGTCTCTTGTCCCAGCAGCAACACCGAATATTCCTAAAAGAAGGAAACAGGTTTCACTTTAAAAAAAAAAAAAAAAAAAAAAAAAAAACAACGAAATAACAACCAATAGAGTTGAATACTGCAGAAGACGAAAACTAACAAAAATGCTATTCCAGCCTCTCTAAGTAGGGAGAGTGCGTTCATCTTCCAGGCGTAGTAGAAAATAAACAGAGTACAGTGACGTGGGGAGCCGTGGGGATCCCTAAGGTCCCTCCCCATAAGAAGAAGTGTTTCTCTAAGGGCTACCTGGGGGAACACTGTGGCCACTCATCTCAGGGCTCGGGGGCTGGGGTCCATCATCACCGAGGCTCCTTGCAAGGCTGAGAGGCCGCAAATGGAGAGAACAGAAGTCAAACCTCACGGAAGTGAAGGAGTGGACAGGGTCACCAGGTTATAGGGACGGGGCGTTGGCGGAAGGTCGTTGAGGTGGCCCGATCTAAGCAAAAATGCTCTCCCCTTTGGGATGTGAAAATCTTACGTAATCCTCGTGCCTGAAATTGAACCTAAGAGAAAGTCTTACTCAGTTTTTCTTTCACTTCCACGTACTGGGTCCTCACTCTCCACCAGTCGGTGTGCTAAGCCTCTCACCTGCGTGGTCTCCCCAGCTCTCACCCCCAGCCCGTGAGATGGGTGTGTTTACTCCGGTTTTACCAGTGACGCCTCGTGGCTGATGTTCACTAACTCTTCAAGCCGTGCAGTTAGTTGTTGGATTATGAAAGGTATTTGGATGCATTGCGTTTTGACAGGGTGCATCATGCCTGCTCAGTGGTTCAGATGTCACGGTTGAAGTGGGGCAAAGCATGAGATTATTATGAAGTTGTTATCTGGGCAGGAGGAGTGTGGGGCGGAGGTCTTGGGAGAGCATGTAAGAGCTGACAGAGCTCGGGCTCTGGAATCTGCTGGTCCCGGGGTTCTGGTCCTCCTCTTCCACTCCTCAGCCACGCGGTCTTCAGCATGGTTGTCGCCGCAAACTGGGGATGTTGGGACCCACCTTGCGTGGAATGGAGATAAATATTAACACGGCGTGTAAAATGCAGAGGGTGGTGCCGGGGCCGTAGCTGGCCTCATGTCGGTGACGGCGCTGTCCTTGTCACCACGGTGGTCATTGTGGCCGTTGTCGCTGTGGGCTCTGTGTCATTAGCAGGCGGGTCACTCAGCCTCTCAGATGTCACACCGTTGTCATAAATCGAGGATGCCAGAAGTGTGGTTTTGTGGATTGAGCGCGATCACGAGACAATGCTTTGTAAACACACATGCAATTTTTGTATTCGTGAGACCCCCGTGGCTCAGATGGCAACACCAGGGGAGCGCTCCATCAGCGACCTCTCAGGGCGCTTCTAGTCTCATCACAACGCTTTCCTCCAAAAGCCAGCTGAGCGTTAGTACCCCACAAGCAGGAATTTGAGACAAGGGGGTAATTTTGGAGGTGATGGAGTGAGGTGGTGGTACAGACGTGGGTGGAATGCCAACGGAACCTCCTGCTGATGCATGCTGTCCGTGCGCCTTCGCTCTGTTCCGTCAGAGCCTTGTCCGTCATCCCACACTCGTCCACATGACCACTGGCCACTTTTCTGAACCCACAGAGCAAGGAAGGCGCTGACCCCAGCCCCATCACTTTCACACGGAGCCATGGAGGCACCCCCATCTAATCTGCATGTTGTTAGGCAACAGGAAATCTTTGGTTATTCCCTGTCAGTGTTGCCCATTCCCATGTCGGCCCCAGGAGCTCCCAAGCCCCTTGGTCCAAAGCCAGGGGAAACTGAGTTTACCGCAGGTGCCAGAGGCCCTGAGCTCCAGAGTCGATTCTGGGTGCCACAAAATGCCGTTCTCCTCACGTGGGTCAGAACCCCCACAGCTCCTGAAAACTATGGCTTGCCGTCGGCATAAAACTCAGCACCGGCCCATCCTCCAGGTTGGGGAGCGTCATGCACACCATGTACGGTCGGGCCGAGAACCACCCTCCTTCGCCTCATCGGCTTTTCCTGTCCTCTGACCCTTGCCTTGGTCTGCATCATGGATTGGAGTCGCTGTTTTGGAGTAGACTGTTTTGCTAAAGAGACCATTGAGGGGTTATATCACCCCCACAAACGTACCAGGAGGTAAGCAGACACCATCCTGGGGCTATAAGAACCTGAGCTTTGGGGTATGGGTCCCTGAGTTCAGGTGCAAGATCTGTGGTGCACTGTGTCTGTGATCTTGAACTGGAGAGCTCACGTCTCTGAGCCTAAATTTTATCACGTATGGAACGTGAGCGATCACACCAAAGTGCAGGGTTGTGGTGAGGATTAAGTGAAATCACGTGAGAAACTCACTGGCATCGGGTCCCAGGGGATGGAGTTGAATCTGAAGTTGAATTGGCCATTGAGCAGAGCCAGGTTCTAAAATGACAGTATCATAAGAACCCAACCCTCTGGTTGGAAATGAGCATGCTGTGCCGCTGTTGTAGCTAGCATTAGGTTCTGTTCATAGGAAAGCCATAGCTTCCTGAAGGAAGGCTTCGGAAAGATTATTAACCCAGTGTTGTATATGGCATGGGTTGAAAATTCAAGACAGGAGGTTGGGATCCTAGCTGAGAGACAACTACCCTGGTTCAGAAAAGGTCTGAGGGCCAGGAGTTTGGGGGCTGCAAGGGAAAAGGTCTTTTAGAAAAGAAAATCTACATGGCCTAGCACCTGTTGGATTATAGGGTAAAAACGAAGGGGAGGAAACTATCAGTTAGGGTCCTGGCAGGGAACAGATGGGCAGGTTGAAGGGAGCGAAATAGAAGGAGCCTTTGCAAGTGTGTGAGAAGCATGCAGAGAAGCGAACAAGGAGCCAGGACGGCCAAGTTCTAGAAGGCTGGTAACTGCCTGACCTCTCTCTCCTCCCTGCCTCCATCTCCTACTATGCTCCCCGTTGGCCCAATCCAACCAGGGGCCAGAGGGCAAGGAAGGCGGTTGACGGGCCCATAATATTCAGCCTCGCAGGGCGCAGTGCTGAGGAGAGAAGGCAGCAGAGTGGATGTGGAGAGGCCTGGGAGCTCAAAATTGAAGACATCCAGCGAAAGACGCAAGCTCTGCCAGGTCAAGAGCTCCAGGAATTCTTTAGGAACAGTCTCCATTACAAACGCAAACTTGGCGGGACACCCTCTAGAGAGATCTTAAATTCGCCAAATTTAGATAAAGTAGAAATGGCTCTATACTTCATAAAGGTGGAGATTTTTTTTTTTTTTTTCTTTAAACCATGCCTCCCAAGTGAATGAAGCAGTTGTCAACAAATGATTACTTGAGGCTGGGCGGGGGCGCTGGGGGAATAACGTTTAAAAACCATCCGAAATGAGTATAACACACCTCTGTAAATCGCAATGTGATTTCAAGAGTATGTTGTGTTGCCTAAAGGAAGTGATATCAGTTCTGAGCTCCAGTTTTCCTATCTGG